CCTTTGGTGGCCTTGCTGCTTTCTCCTATTTCTTTAGAGAAGGTGGTGGGGATGGGGGTGCCCTGAGAAGTTCAGCTTTTGTGAGATGAACTGTGCACATTGGGCACAACCAAGGCTAAATGCTCCAACCCTCAGTGAAAGATTAAGTGTTGCTAAGATCTCCAGGCTTGAGAAAGCAGCATGTGTCAGGATGAAGAATCCTGTTTCAAAGATGCCTTGACTCCCCTAACTTTTAATCTACCAACGGACTATCAGTACCTATCACACAGCGAGGATAATCTCATCATTTTTAAATGCAGACATTTAATGAGCACAAATCCCCTGCAGATGGGAAGAGGGGAAAGGAGCTAAGACCTGGTCCTCTTGGGTGCTTAAATTCATCTTTAAGGGGCTGAAAATTCAGTTAGAGGTTTGTATCTGAAAAAGCTAATAAACATTTAAAAATCCAGAGTGACTGAGGCAACAGAGAGGTCATGGGGCAGCATGTCATAGTGTTTTAAAAATGCTCAGAGAAAAACCAAAGGTATGCTATGGGGAGTGCCCAAGTGGGCTGGGTACAGCAGAGTGAGCAGGTCTGGGAGGTGGCAGGGAGCAGACTTCTGGGATGGGCCTCAGGTACAAAGGGCTCCCTGTGTGATTATGGGTGGTGTGTGGTGGGATGGCAGCGGTCAGGCTGGGCCAGGCCTTGGGTGGGGCAGGGGGAGCCCTCTGGGCAGTGGCGGGGGTCAGGGGGAAGACCACTCCTTAACCCGGAGAAATGAGGTGACAGTGGGGGAAAGCCCCTTCTCAGCACTAACAAGCCAGACACCCTCATCCTTCTGCCGCCCCGCCACCCCACCCCTTTTTTCTCCAGAGCAGGGAGAAAAACAGATAAAGTCCCCTGGAGAGGGTGGGCCCCTTGCAAGACCTACTCCCTGCACTCAGCTCACCGAAGGAGTACCAGCCGGCTGCCTATAGAAGCATCTCCTCCTCTGAAGCCTTAGAAGTCATCTCTGACACCTGCCCACAAAGGTGGGTGGGCCGCGCTGCTCTGCGCTTTCACAGCAGCTGTTCTCGTCGTAGTGCACATAGACCTTTGCTGTAATTATAGCCACAAGTATCTGAACTCTCAGTGGGCCGTAAGTCCCATGAGGCAGGGATACACTCAAAGACCTGACTAAATGAATAACTGGATGATGGAAGGGGGATGAGTGAACAAATGACTAAATGGCCAAAGGCAGCTGTGTGCAGAGTCACTGTGTTGCACAACTCTGGGGACACCATTCACATCGTGCTGTGATGGCCCCTCCAGCAGCACAACTGTCAGGGACAGGACAGGGAGGACGCAGGTCAGAGGGCAACGCTGTCCTGTTGCCTCAGCCTGGGAAAGCAGACCAAACTTGTGGTGGTCCCTCAATCTGCCTGCTTTGGCTGGAGGAGTCTCGGGGAAGGGAGATCAGAAGGGGCCAGCACACCCGACAGGCCTGTCCACATCCCCAGTCCTCGTGACACTCCCAGATGCACCGAGGGAAGCCCAACCCCCCCCCACAGAACACCGTCAGAACTTCGGAGGAAGACGTGTCCCCCAGGCCTCCCCTCCTTCCTCAGACACCTGTGCCTGTGTTCTCTGGACGTCATCAAGTGGCGCCGTTGGGACCAGTGTGCCTCCCCACCCCACTGCACAGCCTTCCTCCTGCAAGGAGTCCCCTCATCCTGGGTCCCTCTCCACAACCCCACCCCCTGCCAGGCTGACACCGTCAGCCAGCCTGTGTTCCGCGGTCCAGGGGACAGTGGTCACTCTGCTGCCAGGAGGGGGGCCTTCTCACGGGCTAGGGGTGTTCTCTCTAGAGTGGTTCCTTAAGGCCTTCCACTCAAACCAGGTCCTGCTATCTTTGAACGCTTGATGCCCTCCTGGGATTCTCTGTTTCAGGGTGTCCTCCTTATCACTGGGCTCCAGGTCAGGTACTCCTTCTTGGAATCCAGCTGTCTTCACCCACTGGCCTAGGGAGATGCCACCGCTATACCAGGCACAGGAAACAAGAGAAGGCCACATCCCTCCAGCCCCTTCCCCTGGCTTCTATCCAGGGGAGTCAGCTCATATAGGCAGACCCATGTGGCTCTAGAAGACTCTGTCAAGCTCAGCTGAACCAAGTGTCCCAGGTACAGAAGGTAAGGGACCTCTGAGGTCACACAGGGAAGGAGAGCCAGGGTAACGGGGGTGGGGGGGCTAGACCTCAGGGGCTCCCTGTACTGCACAGGCTGCAGTGACACAAAGGACCAACACACACAAAACTTGTGTGCAGGCGGAGCACTTGGGTGGCTCAGTCAGTTAAGCGTCTGCCTTCGGCTCAGGTCACGATCCCAGGGTCCTGGGATCGAGTCCCGCATCAGACTCCCTGCTCAGTGGGGAGCCTGCTTCTCCCTCTCCCTTTGCCTGCCACTCTGCCTACCTGAGCGCTAATAAATAAATAAAATCTTAAAAAAAACAAACAAACTTGTGTGCAGGCAAGGCAGAAGCAGTGTCTACGAAGGCAGTTCCCCTATCCCCCCAGGCTCAGGGATGCATGTGTCCCAACCTAACTCGGGGGGCCCCAAAAGCCATGTAGAATACAAGGTATACAACCGACTACACACTCAAGTGGAAGGAAGCTTCTCAGGGCCCTAGGGCTCCAAGCCAGAAGGGACCAGAATTGCCAACAGCCAATCCCACTGATGGCAGAGCCTTTGTCTCTAGTGACTTGTGTTCGGAGGGCCCACAATCCCTGCCCCCAACCCAAACAGCCCAGCATTCCCACCAGGTCACCCAATGGAGTCACAAGTCTAGCCAGAGAGTGGCAATCCTCACCTCAACTCAGGAAGGCTCCCCAATTCTTCATTGCCCTGATTCAGTCAAGGTCATCTTAACTCCCAATGGCATGTTAACGACTGGGAACAGGAGATGTGGGTTCCAGCCCCAGAAGTGCTAGCAACTCACAGTGGGACTCTCCCAAATCCTCCCCATCCCTGGGGCTCAAACTTCTCACCTACACATGCAAGGTGGGGGCTCCATCTCTGAGGCCTTAAGCTCTCATTTCAGGGATTTAGGAACAAAGGGGGTTGGTGTGGCTCCTCAGGGGCCTCAGCCCATCAGAGATTCTGAAGGAGTCCAAAAAACTCCTACTCACAAGAGACATTCTCCTCATCAAAGCCCTGGTGCTTTACTGAAGCATGTTCAGACTTGGAATAAACAAATGTTTCTTGAGAACCTACCAGGGCCAAGGCCCTTTGAGAGGCACTGGGGAAACATGAAGGAGTAAGAGAACCTCAAGCAACCCTTTCACAGAGACAGAAACTGAGGCTCAGAGAGGCCTGGAAATCTGCTCAAGGAAACACAAGTAGGAATTCAACTCCCAGGCTGCCTGATGAGACTTCTCGCCCAGGGCTCCAGGCCAGGTAAAATTAGCACTGGGATGTGAAGACTCCTGAAATCCTTGAGGCATGGGAAATAGTGAGTTCTGAAGCTGGACTGTGTTAAGATCAGAAACTCCAGGACACAGGGCTGGCTGGCTGAGCTGATCTTGTTCTGAAATACCCAGCCTGGCCCCAGGATCCACCCCCATGTTAGGGCCTGACCTTCTGACATCCTTCTCTGAACCATCCATCCCAGGTAATGAGTAGCAACACAGGAGACTGCCATGTGACCTTCACAACCCACTTGTACCCCCACACCAGGGTAGCACTATTCCCTGAGCCCATCAGGCCCTCCTAAGGTTGCCTGTGTCTTGGTCCCTAGTACAGACAGGCACCAAACCAGGCGAACTGGACTGGTGTGCAGAGCTAGAGCTGGGGATCCTGTCCCCAGAGGACACCTTCTTCCTGAGGTGAGCTGGGCAAGGCCCAGCCCGTCCCTCTGCAGCCCCAGGTGAGAGGCCTCTGGGGAGATGCTCTGAAAACCACTCCTTCCTACAGGTGTCAGAGGGGTCCACGCTCTTCAATCCGCTCCTCCCACCTTGGGGCCAAGCCGGGTTTCAGAGATGCTTTCCCCGGGGAGGCTGCTGGGCGGCAAGGAAGCCGTTTGTCTCCCCCTCCCCCCCTCCCCTGGCCGGCTGCCACGGTGACCTCCCCTCCCCCAAGACGGGCTGTGAGCTGGGAGGTGGGGGTGGGAAGACTTCTCTGCCGTCAACGCTCTCAGGAGGGGTGCTGGGAAGCCAGGCAGGGCGTGTCGCCTGGTCCTTTCTCTGCCCAGCGCCAGGCTTCGGGCGGCCTCTTGGTGCGAGGCACCCCTGTACCATCCCCCAAATCTGCCTCGCTCCGGGGAACCCTCGCTGTCCTCGCCCAGACCCTGAGCCCGAGAGACGCTCCCACACGCTGGCATAGGGCAGCGTCTAGAACCTTCCGTGCCCAGTCGGACGTAGGCCAGGGGAGGTAGGCGCCCTGTTCCCCTACAGCCTGCGCCCGCTCTTTCCACAGGAGACAGGTGTCGGCCTTCCCCCGCGGCCCTCTGCTCCAGGGCCTGGACGTGCCCGTCATTAAACACGGGTCCGGGCAGGGTCCGCAGGGAACCCTCCCGCCAGACGCCGGCCCCGCCTCGTTCTCCGAAGAGGGGCGCCCGTCCTCCCCCGGCCCCCGCCCGCGCCCGGCCACCTGCGCGGTCGCCCGCAGCCGGTGCCGCATTGCGAGCGAGCCGGCGAGCCCGGCGCCTTCACGCCCCGGCCGGCGCGGCTGAGCGAGCCGCCGCCCTCCGGCATCCCTGCCGCGCGGCGTCCGCCCCGCAGCTCTAGCCCCGCACCCCACCTCCCACCCCCACCCCCACCCCCACCCCCACCTCCACCTCCGGCCCAGCGCCCCCTCCATCCCTCCCCGGGGCCCCTCCCCGGCCCGGCCCCGCCCGAGCCGGCCCCGACCCCCCACATCCCCGTCCCTCCCCTCCACCCCGGCTTGGAGGGGCCTTTCCGAGCCGGGGCGGGGTCCCCAACTGGGTGGATGATGTGGCGGCGGGGGTCGACTCGGCGCCAAGCCAAGAGAATAAGCGGGGTACTTACCGCTCTGCTCCCCCAGGAACACCAACTTGAATTTTCTCAGTGGGTTCCCAAAATCTCCCCCTGCGGACATGGTGCTGGCAGCCGGGCCGTGCAGGAGGAGGAGGAGAAGCGAAGGAGCAGGGAGGGAGGAGGAGGGCGAGGGGAGGCGGCCGGCGGTGCGGGAGCCGGAGGGGGAAGGGCTGGCTGCGCGCGTCCCTGACTCCCCAGCTGCGTCCCGGCCCCGGCCTGCGGCTGCGTGTCCGGCGGCCGCGGCGGCAGAGGCGGAGGAGGAGAAGGCTGGGGCTGGGCTGCTGCGGGCGGCGCTCGCTGCGGTGCGAAGGGCGCGCTCTGGACGCCCGAGGCGCGGCGCGGACAGCGAGGCGCGGGCGGAGCGGGGCGCAGGGACGGCGCGCGGGGCGGAGGAGCGCTCTCCCGAGCCGCGCGCCGCGGCCCCCTCCCGTCTCCCTCCTCGGCCGGCGCCTGCGCTCTGCGCGCTCCCCAGCCTCTGATGTCATGCGGGGCTCGCGCCGCTGCGGGGCTGGGGGCGTCCGCCCGCCCACCCGGAACCCGCACTCGGCGGGAGAGAACCGCCTGGCCGGGCCTCCGAGACACACCCGCATCGGGCCGTCTCTCGTTGCCCCTCTACGTCTGTCTTCCCTACTCTAACTCTACCCCTCCTTTGAATCCAGAAAAATGACACGAAATTGGCAGAGGACATTTGTTCCTCATCTTTTAAAACCTAGATTCCCGTCCCTTCCTCCACCTCCCGCGACGCCTGATTGATGCACGTCCATCTCAGAAGACGGAAAGGAAGGGGGATGTTGGGGGAGAGCAAGGGTGTGGTGGACCATGTGGGGGTAGACTGGCTTGACTGTGACCCCGTGTGGCCTCTAGCCCACCCTCCCTTCTCTAGGTCCAGATCCCTCCTCTGGGCACCTCTGTGGGGTCATAGGCGTCCCCTCAGACCTGGCCAGCAGGAGAGGAGGACCAGGAAAGGTGCACCAATCTCAAGCCAACCTCTCCTACAGATAATTTTATGCTAAATCTGCTGTCCCATGGGAGAGAAGGAGCCATGACACCAGAATATCTGCGTGGCCGTTCTCTGGACAGCACTCTGGAGTTCTTGACTCTGGGGCCACCAGGCTGACTAGGCCATGGCTTGCCATGGCAATTAGTTGTATCTGGACAAGGAGCTTCCAGAGGACGGGAGGGTTGCTTCCCATTCCTCTCTGTATTCCCCTGGCCCACTGAGGCACATGGGACAAGTTGTGAGTGGATGAGAGCAAGGAGCTCAAGTGTTAGAAGCACTCCCAGGACAGCCCCCTTGGTAAAGCATTCTGGTTAATGGAGGTTTCACAAAGCTGCCTCCTACTATCTACGGCCACATGGTTTTCCTCTTTACAGCAGTTCAGGGAACATTTATTTATTTGGGAACAAGCAGTGTGTGTGTGTGTGTGTGTGTACACACAGAGAGAGAAGAGTGAGAAGCAAGCTCAACCCCCAGAAAGTACCAAAGGACATTGGTTATCCTCTTCTGCGTACATAGCTGGATTGGGATGTCTCCCTGTCTGTCTCCCTGGTTTGTTTACCTGAAGTCCCTCTCTCATTGCTTGTTTGAAAACCAGAAAGTGAGTTTCATGACAGCAGCTGTTGAAGGTCCACTATAGGAGCTCAAGGACCTGAGAACTTAGTAAACAGTCGTTGAATGTTTGAGTGAATGTCTAGAACACAAATCAGAACAACTGTTCTCTTTCTCAGAGTCACCCTTGGTTTGGAGCCTCAGGGATGGCAGGCGAGCGCTCTGGGATATCTACCCCACTGTGCCTGGCATCAGGCTCAGAGGCACCCTCTAAACTCCCACTCTCCTTCTGCCCTGGGGTTCTTGCTCTCTCGGGAGACTGCATCCAGCATGGGATTGAAGGAAGCTCTAGAAGGAGCTGAGACTCCCACGCTGCAGCTCTTCCTCCCTCTGAGTGTTCTCTCCACTGAAATTCCCGAGGAGATGTGGTCAAGTTGCCACCTGGTGCTGTCGTCCTGCACCCTCTCATCCTGTGCTGAGGACATTGTCAGTGTCAAGACAAAGCCGCTGAAATGTGAGAGAAAAAGTGCCATCGTTTAGGTAAGTCTGGGCAAGTCCTCTACCTTCTCTGATCACCTGGTCCTCCACATACAAAATTGTATGGCAGAAAGGGAGGGATGGGACCCAGGCCCCTCCCACACCTAGAAGCCTCAAAGTCAGACCCAGCTGGGCTGACTATGGGCCAGGATGCCTATAGGACTCTGTCGGGATTCTTCCAGTTTAAATGACAAAAACCCAGCTCCACCAACTTTAAGCACAGCAAGACAGGTTGGCTCATGTCTGGAGCTGATACTGGTGTTGTTCACAGAATGTGGTCATTGTGCTTGGAAGTCCAAGTCTGCTCTGCTCCCATGTCCCCCTCCTTCTCCATCTTCTGTCATTACTTGCCTCTCCTTATTTGGGGTCTTGTCCTTAACCTGCCCTAGAGGAGACAGGCTTTCTCCAGGTGGTAAAAAATTGTGGAATGTGGCCACTATAGTACTCAGTTTGCCAACCCTACCAGAATGAGTTTCTTCCACATAGCATCTTTGTGTTCCTTTATTTTTTTTAAATATTTTATTTATTTATTTGAGAGAGAGAGAATGAGAGATAGAGAGCACAAGAGGAAAGAGGGTCAGAAGGAGAAGCAGCCTCCCCGCTGAGCAGGGAGCCCAATGTGGGACTCGATCCCGGGACTCCAGGATCATGACCTGAGCCGAAGGCAGTCGCTTAACCAACTGAGCCACCCAGGCGCCCCTTTATTTTTTTTTTAATTAGGTAAAGCTTTTTATTGCATCGATATGAAGTATATGTAAGTTGTAAAGAAAACCTATCATTATGAATTCCCATTGACTCTCCCCCCAGCTTTTAAGAAATCAAATGCTACAACACTTCTGAGGTCTCTACTTGTTTCCTTTACCCTTCCTCCCTCCTCAAGGCAGAAATACACCACTCTGGCTTTTCTTTGGGTTTTATCGCTTTTGAATGTGTCCTTCAACAATACTTTGTTTTGTTTGCATCTTTTGAACTTTATGTAAGGTTTCAAACTGTATAGTCTCTTTTATGACTTGCATTTTTCTTAACATTATGTTCCTAAGATATGTCTGTTGATGCATATAGTAGCGGTTCTTTGCTTTCACTGCTATTTCCTGAACACTGGAGTGTATGCTCAAGTTTTTGTATCATTTCCAGTAAAATGTGTCCAGATAAAACATTTTTTAACTTAAAATAATTTTAGATTCACAATGATACCATCTTCCATTTGCCATCATACATTAGTAAAACCAGGAAATGAACATCGGAAAATGCCCAGAGTTTTCTTTGCGTACTACAAATGCTGCTATGAACATCCTTTATGTGCTTCCCGAGGCACCTGGGAGAAATTTTTCCAAGATATGTATCAAGTAGATGCCCGGAGGTATAGAACCAAGTATGATCGATTTTAAACCAAACTGTTTTCCAAAGATTGTCCTCAGGTCATGCACTTCTACTTCTTCACCTATATTTGTTATTTTTTTTTCAAGAAAGTCTTGACTATTCTCAGCCCTTTGCTCTTATGTATAATTTTAAAATTAAACTTTTTATTTCGAGGTCATTATAGATTCACAAGCAGTTGCAAGAAAGAACACAGATCCTGGGTATCATTTATCCAGATTCCTCTAGTGGTAACATCTTGCAAAACTGTAGTACAATGACACAGCTAGGGTGTTGTCACTGATCCAGTCAAGATACAGAACATCTCCGTCGCCACAAGGGTCCCTCATGTTGTCTTTTTATACCCACACCAACTCTCCTCCTGCCCCAGCCCCTTCCTAGCCTCTGGAAACCACTAAACCATTCTTCTTTTCAATAATTTTGTCATGTCAAGAATGTTATGTAAGTGGAATTATAGAGTAGGTAGCCCTTTGGGATTGGTTTTCACTCAACATAATTCTATCCAGGTTGTGTGTATCAGTAATTGGCTCCCTTTTTACTCCCTTGTAGTATTCCATGGTATGGATTATGGATTATCCCAGTTTGTTTGAGCATTTACCTATCGAAGGGCATCTGGGTTATTTCCAGGTTTGGGCCGTCACCAATAGAGCCGCTATGAGCAATCATGTACAAGTTTTTGTGTGAACGTAAGTTTTTATTTCTCTGGAATAAATTCCTGGGGTACATTGCTGGGTCGTATGGTAGTTGCATGTTTAATTTTTTTTTTAAGCAACTGCCAAATTGTTTTCCAGAGTGGCTGTATCATTTTACATTCCTACCAGCAATGTGTGAGGGATTCAGTCTCTCCACATCCTCACTAGCCTTTGCTTTTGTCACTTCTTATTTCTTTTTTTAAGCCACTCGGAGAGCTATGTAGTGATATTTCATTGTGGTTTTCATCTGCATTTCCATAACCACTGACAATGCTGAACATCTTATTATGTGCTTATTTGCCATCTGTACATCCTCCTTGGTGAATCCTCTGCTCATGTCTTTTGTCCATTTTTTAACTGGATTGTTTGGGTTTTTTACTGTTGAGTTTTGAGAGTTCTCTATATATTGTAGATACTAGTCCTTTATCAGATGTGTGGTTTGCAAATATTTTCTCCCACTTTGCAGCTTGTCTTTTCAACCTCTTAACAGGGCTTTTTGCAGAGTAAAAGTTTTTACTTTTGATGAAGCCCACTTACTGATTTTGTCTTTTAGTAATTGTGCTTTCGGTGTCATGTCCAAGAATTCTTCAATAAGCCCTAAGTCCCAGAGATTTTTCTCCTATGTTTTTTCTAAAAGTTTAAAAATAGGTTTATGTTTTACATTTCAGTCTATGATCTAGTTTGAGTTAGATTTGTATGAGGTGTGTTGGAGGTGGTCTTTTTTTCTTTTGCCTATGGATGTCCAGTTGCTTCAGCACCATTTTTTGGAAAGGCTATCTTTTCTCTATTGAATTACTTTTGCACCTTTGTCAAAAATCCGTTGGGCCTTGTTACTGTGGGGGGGGGGGCGGAAATGAATGTCCAGACTTGCTGCATGATCTCCTCTGATAGTACAGGTGGGGAAAG